CGTAGTCGTAGTAGTACCACTAGTAGTCGTAGTAGTCGGCGTAGTAGAAGCATTCGTAGCCGTAGTAGCAATGGTAGTAATAGTAGTAATACTAGTAATAGTAGTAGTAGTAGTAGTAGTAGTAGTAGTAGTAGTAGTAGTAGTAGTAGTCGTCGCCATGGTAGTGGTAGGAGTAGTAGTAGTAGTAGCAGTGGTAGGGGTAGTAGTTGTGGTCGTAGTAGCATTATTTGGTATAGTAGTAGTACGACTAGTCGTAGTAGTAGTAGTAGTAGTAGTAGTAGTAGTAGTAGTAGTAGTAGTAGTAGTAGTAGTAGTAGTAGTAGTAGTAGTAGTAGTAGTAGTAGTAGTAGTAGTAGTAGTAGTAGTAGTAGTAGTAGTTGTAGTAGTAGTAGTAGTAGTAGTAGTAGTAGTAGTAGTAGTAGTAGTAGCAGTCGTCGTAGTAGTAGTCGTCGCCGTCGCAATTGTCATAGTAGTGGTATCAGTAGTAGCAGTATTACTAGTAGTACACGTAGTAGTAGTGGTAGTAGTAGTAGTAGTAGTAGCAGTAGTCGCGGTAGTTGTAGTAGTAGTCGTCGTACCAGTTGCAGTAGTAGTGGTAGTAGGAGGAGTAGGCGAAGTTTTTGCCGTAGCGTTAGTAGCAGTAGTTGTAATATTTGTAGCATTTGCAGTCGTAGGCGTAGCCGTAGCCGTAGCCGTAGTCGCAGTCCTCGTCGTAGTATTTGCAGTAGTAATAGCCGTAGTAGTAGTAGTAGTAGTAGTAGTAGTAGTAGTAGTAGTAGTAGTAATAGTAGTAGTAGTAGTAGTAGTAGTAGTAGTAGTAGTAGTAGTAGTAGTAGTAGGAGTGGCAGAAACAGCATCAGTAGTAATGGTACTATCGTTGCGTGCAAATCGCCGTTTCGCTTGTCCAGCGTTTGTCTTGCCACGATTGCAAACAACAGCGGCATATATTATATAATCGCCCTCTGTATTAAGGAATTCAACGGTACTGACATTAACGTGCCCATCAACAAATTACATGATAGACTGGGTCTTGGGCACGAGAGGTGTCATTTAGCGGGGATTCGGCATCCCCCCACAACGTATACCAGTACGTGTTTGCGGTTGACGCTACTGGTTACGTTTCCTGATATCGCTGCACATAGTTACGTATATCTATGTATAACAGAATGCACGTGTATATATATATATATATATATATACATAGATATATGTATGTATATATATGTATAAATGTGTATATATACATGTATATATCATTACGTGCTCGTGGTGGATGGCAGCTTTTGCAAGCCAGACAAAAACAGATGTAAGTTCGTTGCCCTGTTCAGAACCAACCCTTATGGTTTTCGAAAACAACATGTTAGTATATGCAACGGTTGCGTTCACAGGCTATTCGCTGCTTTTTGCCATGCCCCATCATTGCGTTTGTATTGCAGAGACCCTCGGGCGGCGGGTTGATTGGCGGGGTAGCGCAAAAACAAGTTCGAATAAGTGAGCATATTGGGAAGATTGCGAGACGAGGTAAAGACTTCGAAGGGTGATAGTTCCATATTTCGAGCGTTTGCTAATCCAACGCGAACCAAACACAAATCCAGACTTGCACGCATACCGTGAGTCACATTCGCCCGATACATAGCAATACTTGCTGCAAACATGCAACATCTCCCTACCCTGCGCGGAAGACAGTGGGAGTTATTCAAATGTCGGCGGAAGTGCGGCGGAAACCGGTACTCCCCCGGAGCAGAAAATTGCCAAAGTCTCGCAGACGTAGGCGGAAGTGCGGCGGATGCCGGCAGAAACAAGGAAGACAAGAAATGACGTGAGAAGGGTGAGTTTGGCTTGCTGCTGCTGCTTCCGTATCGAATTTGGTTAGTCGCACATATTTTTGGTTTATGTGCTCCACACGTCAGCGACGGTCGCAAGAGTTTTCGAAGTCGTCCAACGGCATACCTGTACTGATAATGTTTTGTTTCACGAGAGAGACGCGGATCAATTACTGGAGAAGTGGCGGCAGCGAGCCCGCTGCATCACGGACGCATCAACAGTGATCCAACAAGGGGACCGGGCACGAATTTGTCGACGTGGGAACAAGTTGAGGCACATATATTATCACGCACATTGTTGTTGCACTTGGTAATGAACTCAGTATGCCGTGTCAACAACGAGATGATAGATGCTATCATGCGCAACACAACACTACACCATCCAGGGGCGCGGCAATGGTAGAGGCTGTGTCGCGTGAAGTGGTTGGGGTTGATCAAGTCGACATTTCAGTTGACAGTCCAATGGGACGTCACATAACTGCTTTCCCAGAAACAAACTATTATTTGGCTACTCGCGTCAACCAGGGCCATAGGTGGCTTAGCGCTAATCATGCGACAAAAAACAAGAGCACATTCAAGGAGTCGTTCGTTGCCACATGCATGGGCCGGGATCGTCGAACTATTGGTCAGCATTCCGAGCGAATTGGCAATTTTACGATTGTTCCAAGAACGCAAGTGATCTGAGTCAGACTCGCTGGCCAAAAGCAGCACCTGCTCCCCGATCCGAATTCTCAGTGTTTGGATTCGAGGCCATCGCGCATATCACTTGCCAACTGCTAAAGTTTTTGAACATTGGCGGAGCTGGTCTCGCTTGCCGCGAGAAACCAATCAGGATGCAAAAGTGCCCCGTTGCGGAGTCGCGAGCCTTCGTGCGCTCTTTGGGATGGCCGGCCATTGAAGCAAGAGTGAGAGCCTTGGATAAGGATTCCCAGGGCCACGCCGCGTCAAAGCGAGAACGCATGCAATGGAGGATCGACGACGACGAAGATGACACTGACAATCTCGAGTGACCCATGCGGAGCGATCGAGCTGCGAGCGGGCCCAAGTTGGAGTGGTTCCCCGGCCTATGATGCATGGGAAGAAGTAGTTCTCACACCGGTTGGTATCTGTATATATCTACATATGTATATAGTTGTATTCACATACATACATACATACATACATATGTGTATATATACACTACTCTTACGGGGGACGGGCCCATCGCATTCGGACCTTTCCCTGATCGAAAATCCGTCGCTCAGATTACACGGGCGGGTCGGGGGGGGGGGTCCACAGGTTGACGTTTTATTGTTAAAACTATGTGCCCCCCGCGCGGGCTCCTCTCACCCGCGCGGAAACGGCCGACGCGGAAGGAACGTCCGAGCCAGCGGCGTTCGCGATGATTATCGACGACAGCGAAAACCCAATTTGCCCGGCGGGCTTTTCTCACCCGCGCGGCAAACGGCCGACCCGGATGGAGTGTCTGAGCCAGCCGCGTTCGCGATGATGACTTACGTCAGCGAAAACCAAATCTGCCTTTGCCAGGTATTCAAGTGTTTGACCATCGGCGGGGGATTCCATAACTGGTCTCGCGTGCCGCGGGCGACCGAGTTGGACGCAAAAGCGCCCCGATGCGGAGTCGCAAGCCTTCGTGGCCTCTTTGGGATGGCTGGCCATTGAAACAAGAGTGAGAGCCTTGCATAAAAGGGTTCCCAGGGCGTCGAAGCGAGAACGAACGCCATGGAGGATCGACGACGACGAAGATGACAATGACAACCTCGAGTGACCCAGGCGGAACATGTGAGCTGTGAGCGGGTCCAAGTTGGAGACATTGCCGATTTCATTGGAATGGGACATCGTCATCATCACACCGCTTGATATATATATATATATATATATATATATATGCCGCCAGACCCACTATTGACCACCGCCATTGTGTTTTTTTTGTGGGTCCGCACGTAGGGTGAATGTTTGTAGTGGCAGTAGTGCAGGCGTGTGCAGTGCGATTGTAGGTGCATGTGCGCGTACGTGCACAGTCCGCGCGCGTAGGTGCGCGCGCATGGGTCGGTCCAAGATGTCGTTTGTCATGGCTCGGGGACCTTTTTGCCAGCGCGTGCAGATCCCCCTTTCAGGCCCTCCCATTTTCAGCAGTCCTGCTGCCTTATGCGAAGCTGTCATGACACGTTCTCGCGCCGTGGCGTCGTGACCCTGCGGCCCTTCAGGGGAGAGCACTTCTTGAATCAGGCAGCGTCGGGGGGGGGGGGGGGGGCAGAAAGAGTTTGCATCCATGCGAGGAGGGGGGGGAATACGCGAAGGAGGAGGAGGACACAGGAGGAGGAGGAGGAGGGGGAGGGGGGGGAGGGGGAAGAGGAGGGGGGCGCGCTGATGGCTCACCCCCCCGTGCACCGTCGCATCGTTGCTCGTGATGCGCCCTCCCCCCCTTCCTCCCGCCCCTCCTTCCGCGGCCGTTTGGCTCCGAGGCAGGAGGGATGCCATGGTGCGACTACTGTCGCACGCCCTGCGGGTGGCGCGCTCTCCTTGCGGTGATATGGGTCTCGACGGTGGTCGTCTGCCTCCCGTGTTGGTGCGAGGGGGGCCCCTCGTCGCGCGCGCAGGCTCCGGGGGCGCCGCTAGAGAGGAACAGGACCCCGCGCGCGACTGGCTTTCAGACGCCACTGAGGCGGACTTCGCCTTCTCCGAGGAGGAGGAGGAGGAGGAAGAGGAAGACGAGGAGGAGGAGGAGGAGGAGGAGGAGGAGGAAGACTCCGAGGACGGCGTGGCCCATGGGGACTGCGAAGAACCAGCGCCGGAGCCGCCGCGCGAAGAGGGCGGGCCGCCTCACAGAAAACCGCGCCGCGATGAAGGGCATTGAGACCTGTTTTGTGTGCGGCGGCAAGGGGCGCAAGGCGCCCGCCCGCCCGAAGTTTGCCGCCGCGCTCTTGCGTCTGTTCAGCAAAAGCCACAAGGCAAAAGGGCGGGGGACTAACGCCTCGAATGCCTTCCCCCCGTCCATTCCCCGCCCCTTTCCGTAGTGGCAATCGTGAAATATTATTACGTTTTGCTACCACTATAGCTACTACTGCTACTCCTGGGGGAGAAGGCGCTCGATGCGCTTGCCTTGATTCCATTGAGAGGTCGCTTCCACGGCCGAAGCGGTTCGGGACTGCCGCGAAGTGCGCGTTCCAGGGGCCC